TAACAGCCCTTTTAACCATTCATGAATCAACACCAGGAAAACCCATGAAACAATACACAAACAAAACAGATTTGTCTGCAGATTTCTTGCAGATGTACAAAGCAGCTCAGAATACAATCCAAACACATTAATCGATCACACTGGAGCTTTCCAAAGTGCCACAATCTCCTTTTATTCCTGTTGCTGATTTTTTCCTTGTGATAGCAACAATTCCACAGACCATAGTAGGAGAATGTGCTTAATGAATTTTTTCATAAATTAAAGCCAGTTACCATCATTAATCTTTGTCTTCTAAAAATCTTCCTAGAAACTTCTCTACTTAATTTGACCATGGTTCCTTGGGTAAATGCATATGGGTATAATTACATTATTGCCAATTAATACTTAATACAGTAGTTTTAAAGCACCTTTCCCCTGAAGACCTCAAAGTGAATTTCAAATACTGGTTAAGTGCCAACCTCTCTGAGAGGAAAGGTTTTGAGGTTTTTAAATCCATTGTACTGTCAAGGAAACTAAAGCATGCATAGATTGAATAATCTTCCTGAGAGAACAGAGCAAATAAGTGGCAGAGCTAGGGATAAAATGAATACCTTCTTCACTTTCACACTTATGCTCAGACTGCTCAGCCATCTCCAGAAATTAGGATTCTGAAGAGACTTGAATTAGTTGTCTTAGTAAGCTATCATGAACACAGGCGCTGATTTCCATACCTCGCCCAGCAGGCACAAGTCCCACTGGTATCAGTGACGAGTTGCATGTGTACATTCTACTCTGATTGCCCCTTTTTTCTTCTTTGTATGCATACATGGCAGCAGCAAATTCTACTTTTCTAGTCCTCAGTGCCTCTTCTGAAATTGCACACTTCTTATGCACATACCATACATAAAAAGTACCATTAATGCATAAAATACATTATCTATGGAGAAAATATGAACCCTCTACGTTCCTTCTGCTAATGTACAAAAGCTATATGGAGACATGCCAACTGGTCTTTTCTTCATCAGTATGATCCAGTAGGAGAATGTTGTGCCATTGACAAAAGGTTTTATGTCTCAATCTTCAAGACAGAGACCTTTGAAAGGTCTCTTCACTACATTAAAAGAGGCTATTACTCATTTCATCTCCACAAAAATGGCAACATTTCAGAGCTCCAGTTTCAACATTGTCTGACTATCTCAAATAAAACCAGTTTTTGCCCTTCCTATTTAACAAATTCTCTCTCTAGTTGCTAGTTTCATTCCTATCTTTCTATTTCATGTCACAAGTTTAAAAATTCAATTTTGGAGCATTTTACCAAAAAAGAACATCTTGAACTTTACAATGTTTGTGCACAGAAATTTCTCTCTAAAGTCTGTGCCAAAAATGTCAAACAAACCATGTTTCCTCCGAGCCATAGGTGTGTAGCAGAGCATGGTTGAGATAAGGGCAAGCATTTGACTCATAGGATGTACATATTTGTCATGTCAATTATACACTGGATTATTTTTCTTCTAGATCAATGCAAAAATGTGTGATGGAATAGACAATCGATATGTAAAGAGACTTCAGTTTTAAGTCCTCTAGCAGCTTATAAATAATGGGTTTGCGATTTTTTTTAAGTCTGCAATATTCCTCAATATTATTATTTTGTCCTTACAAATTCTGACAGTTTCAAGATTGATGATATGCAGAGTCTGTTTTTATAGCTGGGCAAATGAAAAAATATTTGTTATAGTTTCCAAAAGCTGCATAAACAAGGAGGTTTTTTTTAACTGGAATGAGCCACAAATGCCTAGTGCTGGAAACCCTCCTTGGTCATAAGGACGTGTTCTCCAAGTGCACTGCATCCTCGTGTCAATTCCTGATTTGGAAGTCAAATTGGGGATGCAGAGCTGAGAAGTCAGTCAGCTGGAAATGCAAAGCACAGGTCTTGTGAGAAATTAAGCAGGTGGCAAAAAAGCTAATATTAGGTATGTGGTAGTCAGTCTTTACTCCTCCATGTAATTTCCTACCAATTGTGTTAACAATGGCATGTCCACGTGTTCTCTTCCATCTCCCTATTCCAGAAAATATCTACTGGTACCTTAACAAAAACCCTACATCCCCTACCTCCCTCTTCCCCCAAAGCCTCCTGTACGAGATTTTGCACTGTGCTTGGTTTCATTTTCTTCTGCATAGTGAAGGCAGTGAAAACCTGACATAACTCCTCTGCTGGGTATGCCTACAAGCATTAGGGAGTCTCCTGCAGGCCTGGAGCTGGCTCCTACTCTTTTGTTCCCCTACCCCCAATGCAGGGAGCATGACAGGGCCAACCAGCCATATACAAGGGAAAAGACAGAAAGCAAGGAACAAAACTCAATTAACATATGGAAGCCAATGCCAGCTGGTGTAGCATTTAGCAGCTCATGGGATGCCATATACCGCACTGAGGATTCCATGGAAATGTGGCTAGAACAAAACTCAATTAACATATGGAAACCAATGCCAGCTGGTGTAGCTTATAGCAGCTCATGGGATGCCATATACTGCACTGAGGATTCCATGGAAATGTGGCTCCCTGTATTTGTGGAAGTGGCTCACTAAAATACGTTGCAGTGAATCACAGTAAGACAAAACTGTTTCCATTGAACATAGAGATGGTGAAAATGGAATAATCCATTGTAGAGAAATATGTTCATCAAAATAATTCACCACTACTGCTAGCTTCCAGCTGATGCATCAAAAAGAGATGCACAAAAATCGAAATGTAAAGATGGCCCTCTTTCCTGATTTCATACTGGTGGGGAAGAATAAAGCCAAACAAAGAGAGGAAAGGTGAAGAGATTTACCTTCAACTAGTACTTCCAATTTCTTCACATTGGCTGATGTTACATGTCGTATGAATGTAATGCCATTTATTCTTTCATGCTAAGTTTAAACTTAAGAATCATTATGGAAGTCTCTAAAAGTGTATGCTATTTACTCGAGAATCATATGACTCATGGCCTGGAGAAAACACTGTATTTTGGGAGAGGCAAGCATGCCTGGAATATTTTCCCCAAAGATGGCAATGATGGAACCAGATGCTCCCATCTCTTTGCATGGTTGGAAAGGAACAAAACACCTGTACCAATGAGCAAAGTGGGGGGAGAAGCAGAATTCTCCTTAGCCCACATTAGCCCTTCTGCATCAGAGATTCCAAGCATAAAGGAGCAAGGAGATTGCAGAGGAAGGGACAGAGGGTGATTATGTATTATGAAACCTGCTCTTCTTGGAAAGAGGCCTGAAGTCTGTGTCAGTGAGTTACCAACAGCAGCACTTCTCCTATGAGTGATACCTACGGGTACAGATAACATCCTTAACCATATGGTATAGCATTGGAAACCATGTTACTTACTGACCTGAGCAGCCCTATCTGCTGCAAACTTACTTGATTACAAACTGTGCCTTAAAATTAGGGAAAAAGTGGAAATTAACCACAAAATGATATTTGCAAGATATTTTGAGGGCACGGAAATGCTAAATTAACCTTACTTTGTGCATGCCAAATATTTTGCTGCATAGTAATTCTGATGAAGAACCTATTCACCAAGTATGCTACATTTCCACCCTTTCAAAAGAGATATGGCTAAACTCATCATTTATAGGACAAGGAATGAAAGGCACTTTTGTCTAATAAGGTCTGCAGGATAGTGCCTTTGATGTTTGACGCTGCAGATCATCTACAGTCAGTAGTATAATGTAAATCTGCATATTGAACCCACCCTTCAGACAGTTCTACAGAACTTATGTGGCTTCAAGCTCTAGACTGAATTTCTGAAGAAAATCATCAGCAGCATCCACATTTCATTCCTTTAGGGTTGAGTAAAAACTTCCTCACAAACATTTCTGGGGGGCAGGTCCCAAGGATTGCAAAACTAGCTTGAGCTCAGAAACCCTTTCAAACAAATCCAAATTTAAGCACTTTATTTTTACCAAGAGTGATTCCTTTTAAAGAAAACAAAAAGTTGGGTTTTCCCCAGCTAGCAAAAGGGAAGCTTGTATTATGTATTAAGAACAGAACAATTAAGCTTGGCTGGCTTAAGTGGACACTCTATATAGAGTCTGCACCATATATCTTTAATACAATTACCAAAATAATATTTCTATCTGTCCTTCTCCTTGTTTGTCCCCACCTCTCCACGCATACTCTCTTTCCATATTAAGGCACAAAACCAATAATGTGCAGTCAAACTCCAAACAAAAATGGTCACAGAGGATTTTTGAAATCAAGCAGAACGAGTCTGATGATCCCTATTCAAGAGACCAGGTCATAAGCTAATGGTAATAATGAACACAATACCCATTTTAAAAAGTGTTTCAGCCAACGCTGAATGCAAAAATAACAAACTTAGATTTTTATCTTTGAAATGTGAGAGTTCAGCCACATGTAGATTAATTTGTTTCCTCATTGGAATACCTAATTCACTCAAGCCAACATTTCTGCTTCCCAAGTCTCAGCCCTGAGTAAAATTTTGCTAACAGATCTATAACTCATATCAGACACCGAAGAAATGTTAACTCTAACCTTTACTGTAAATGTCATGCAGTGTACCACTGTAATACATGCTCCAGACAGAAAATCGTGGGGGGAACCATACAGAGAAGTTAGTAATAGAAATTTTGAAAATTAATTTTTAAAGAGAACAGGGCTCAGCTTTGACAAGAAGTGTACTATAAAGAATTAGTGTAAGGTACTGGTTGTACTTCCTTGCATACCCATATGAACCCTGCCAATCAATGTCAACAGCTTATTAATATTTTACTGAAAACCTGTAAGATTATTCAAACTTCAGCTGTCTTGATAGGGTGTTGCTAAGCAACTTTGCTGCCTGTTTTGCAATTAGTTTTCACAGTACTCTTTAACTCAAACGACAGATCTGTGTCCATTCAAAACATTTTCCTCTTAACCTTCAACTGTGTCCCACCACGGCCATATATTTGCACAGTCTTTTACAGCTAAACACAAGAGAGACTCCATGCAAAAGATGCATTGCACTCACCATAGTCACTGTCATAAAATACTATGAATTTTTGCCATCGGAGTTCCGTGACGAGTTTCAGCATCACATCATTGAGGCGAACAGGTGGCCTGGCTGCTAATGTGTATTCTTCCTCCTCAAGACTAGGATTTAGGTGGCAAGCAGTGCGTGGAGAGCCACCTGAGTTGCGCTGTACAAAGAGGTGTGGGATGTGCATGGCGTCTGTCAGGGACTGCAGGGCATTGGCTGAGGCACAACCAGTAGATGTCACTAAGGCTAAGATTCCCAGGGTCATCAGGTCACAGGCTGAGGAAAACAAAGGGAAAAAAACTGGGTTAGAGCAAGTTCCAAACTCCTTTGGTCCAGGCAAGTACTATAGACAATGAGGTGGATGGGATTTCTGCCCTGGGGACTTTCTGCCAATCAATGTCAACAGCTTATTAATATTTTAATAAGCTAAACACAAGAGAGACTCCATGCAAAAGATGCATTGCACTCACCATAGTCACTGTCATAACAATGTAGTTACACTACAGTTGCGCCATTTGGCTTCAACTGAGAGCTCGACCCCACTGAGCTAGATACTGTACATCCACAGCCAGAGGCAACTGTGGCACCAAAGAGCTTGCAGTCTAGGGCAGCTGTGGGTCAGAACCCCAATATGGGTCATGACCCCATTTTAATGGGGTTGACAGGGCAGCATTACATTTGCTTAGGCCCTGCGCTGAAGTCAAAGTCCAAACTCCACTGCCCAAGGCTGAAGCCGAAGCTTGTGGGCTTGGGGAATGGGTATTAAGAGTCAGGTTTCAGCTTCAGTCCTGGGCAGTGGGGCTCAGGTTACAGCCTCCCCACCCAGGGCTGACGCCCCCCAACCTTGGCTTTGCCATCGGAGCAGGGCAGTGACAGTGCTCAGGCTTCAGTCCCTTTTCCTGGTGCCATGCAGGATACCAGGTTGTCAGAAGGTGGTTGTGGTGCATTGAAGGGCCAGACATCCTGACATTGGATCAACATGTTATTGGGGGATGCCTCATCTATCCCCTCCCCCCATGCTTCCTATATGACACGAGGCAAGTTGTTTAATATTTGCCTGCATTGCCCCATTTCTCCACACGCTATACACCAGTCTGTGATTAAGAAGGAACTGAACTCTGATCTGCTCAGTCCCAGTCTTCATCCCAAAACCATCCTTCCTCTGAAGTGTACTGCAGAGATCAAAATGTTGAGGCTCTAAAAAGAGACGTCAGTCTCAAGCATTTGATTTATAAAGAGTTCTGAATGATTTTTAAAAATTACAAAAAAGCATCTTTTTTAAGCAAGAAGAGCCTATGTTTTAGAATGAAGGGAAAAGCGTGAGAGACTGAATGTTTATTAACACTGTCACTATCTTAAAAAGAGTCTGGAAGAGCAGCTGCAATTTAAAGACAATTTTGAAACCATCTGCTAAGGAAAACTGAGTGCCACACAAATTCTAAATACATATAGCTGTAGCTTGTAAAACCTTGCCCTTCAACCTCCAATTTAGCTAACTATTATTTTGTTTAAAAGTGCAACTGACACATCTGTTATATTTTCCATACACAAAAAAAAAAACCCATGTATTTTCAGTCTAAGTCAGTTTTATTTTAGATTGGGGGAAAGAACAAGAAAAGATCACAGCAAAGTTTCCATAAGAAAGTACAGTCTGTGTGTTATGCAAGCCCACTCTATGCCCAGTTTACAGAAGAGTCTGTTATACAACCCATACACACCAGCTAATGCACCAGCTGCTTTAGCCAGGGTTATAAAGAGCCTTGCTTTCTAAAAGGTCCCTAGGTCAATCTGCCTCAGGTAATTTATATACCCCATCCTATAGGACCTAAGTGTTCTATAAGCTGCTCAGTTGCTTCGTTAGCACTGTGCAAGTGGTCCAGAAACCCACCCAAAGTGGGGATATGTCAGCTGTAGGAAGGCTGCCCTATTCCCAACCTCCAGTCTGTCACAGCATGGGGAAAGTCAGCCTCTCCCCAAACCCAAATGCAGTCACAGTGGCCCAGCGTGGACCCACCCCGTTGCTATGGCCCAGAGTAGGTTCTGCTGCAGAGCCCAGGTTCTGCTGCAAGGAAAGTTGGGGGAGTCGTCTCTCCTCACGGTAGCCCAGGAGTACCCACTTTCCCCCAAATCCATACCCAACCCTCATCCCCAGGCCTGAGCCCCCTCATGGACTTAGAATCCCTTTTCCCCACCCCTACATAAAGTTTGTTATCTGCACCAATATGCAGATGATGTGTCAGATACCAGCTCCATACTGCTGCACATATCAAAATTCATTCTGCTCAGAGTTGGAAAAAATTAGCAGGAACACTGCCTGATTACTGTGATATCTGAGCATTTCACAGTATTTGATGCATTTATCCTACGAGGTAAGGAATTACCACTCTTTCGATTTGGCACTTGGGGGTCTGAGGCTGTAAGTGATTTGCACAGGGCTACCCCACCAGTATTCAAAACACACAGCAGTGTGTACTATGTAATTTGAGGCACAAAATGCCCCAAACTTCATGGTGCTCTATGTAGGTAGGTGTTGTGTATGGGCTCTGGCCACCAGGTCCCAGGACACCCCCAGACCCATCCACCTGCAGGCCATGCACCAGCTCCTGTGACCAGCTCCATCCCCTAGCCAAGCACCCAACCTCCCTCCCTGCAGGCTGTGCCCAGCCCCTGCACACCAGGCAGAGAGAAGTGGTGTTAGTGCAAGCCAGAGGACTTAGGAGGAGCCGTGGGTGGCCGCACAGCCCATGGCTGGATTTGCCCAATGTCACACAAGAAGCCTGTGGCAGAGCAAGGAACTCAGGCACATCTCATGTTCTCCATTTGTGCCCTAACTTGGCTCCATCACTTTCCTCTGTAAGACAGCACCTGTCATGTAAATGGGGAGTCACACAGGATTCAAAGTGCTGATAAGCTCCCTTTGTCCAAGGGAATGTAACCTATTGATTGGGCAGTGCATGGTATGTCCACACTGTGCCTGCTCTTCAGAGGAGGTGAGGTGATTGCAGCTACAAGCTTTTGAGTCTGAACTGTGGAGATGCACGTTCTTATCTCTGGAGCTCTCTCAAGCAATTTAAAGGGCTCTAAAAATGGAGAGGTCCAGTAATAATAATACAAATCTCAAATAACTGCATACACCATAGCTTCTAATCCATAATATTCATTATACAACAGCGGAGAAAACAGTCACAAAAATCATATGTGGATTTTGAACAAGAATTTCCAGAGTTTAAATCCAGAATAGAGTTCATGATGAAGAAAGGAGTTATTTGCAAACTCTGGATTGGATTTTCACCTTTTCTTCCTCTCCCTTGTATCCTTCTGCATCTATCCCTTCCCCTCCAAAAATGTTCTGTATTTTGAGGCCCACTGTAAAGGGGTCCATCCTCTCATGAATACCCCTCTGTGGCCAAGGGTATGCTTTGGAATCTCTCTGCCCAGCTGTCTGCAGGAGAAGGAGTGTCTGGTATGTGGCCTAGGACACGGCTTCTTCTTACCCCCTTGCTGTGGCTGCTGGGGATTGTGTGGGGGGGACCCAGGCCCACCCCCTCTTCTGGGTTCCAGCCCAGGGACTCTGTAAGTAGCTGTGGCCAGCTACAAATCTCCGCTGTCTGCTACTCCCTTGCTCCCTGGGTCACTTCCCCAGGATGCTGCTCTGTCCAGCCATCTCAGGGCTCTGAGGCTAGGCTCTCCATGCACCTTGTCCAGGGTGCTATAAAGTCTTGTAATCACCTTATGACTAGTCTGTCACCACTGGACCAGGATTTCACTCAGGCCTAAATAGAGCTTGCACTTGGAGCTGTCCATAGTGCTGCTGTCCTCCCAGTCAGTCCATACACAGATCTGACTGGCTCCAGCTCCTGTGAGGAATTGCCAGGCCTTGGCCCAGCAGCTTCTTTTAAAATGGCCTGCTGGGACCTGACTAGCCACAGCAGACGTAGACGCTCTATTCTGCTTGAAGGACCTCTCTTCTGCTTCTCTCACTGAGACAGGGAATGGCAAGGCCTCCAGCAGGGCCTCAGTCCACCCCAATCACACCCACACGTGCTCATTATATTTCCGATATATTCTGCTTCTGATCATACAGTGAAAACAAGCCTCTTATGCTATTCCTGTGTGACCTCTTTGGTCTTGGATGGAACCAGAAAGTGCAGAGGTAAAAAACGTGAAGGAAAAGAAATCAGGGTTCCACTGAATCGCTCTAAACATACTAGATCCATTCAATCGGCCTACCTTGATTCTCAGAAGCAAAGGATATTCAAAGGTTGTTTATAATTATGTACCGTACATATTTCTGACACAAGTTAACTGTTCCACAGAAGTCTTTTTTTAAAGGTACAAAAACCACGGTGGTTTCACTTTGATATTGGACCTGTATACTTCACTGTGCATGGAATGCTCAGCAAGTCAACTAATCAAACAGTGGAAAGGTGAAGTGCTTTTAAACCATTTCCTTGATGGCCCTTGCAATAAATGTGTGTCATCTGCATTATCTAAATTTACTCTGTGTTAATTATAATTACATGAAATTGTTTTCCCCTCCTTCTCTGAGCTGATCTGAGTCAGGTGCAGAGAGCATTGCCTTGCCAAACAGCAGACCCAGGTTTGGTAACAGATTTGATTTCCCAGGCCAGTTGCCAGAGAAAGCAGAGCATGTCACATAAGTAATTTATTTAGTCACGGTAGGGAGGGAACAGGGAAAAGAGAAGGGGGAAGAGAGGAAAGGGAATAGCCCAGCTGAGACAAACTCCTGAAGGGATCACCAATGAGTTAGCTTTGGCATCATCCAAGGTGAGAGCAACATGCCTGGATCTACAATTCAATCTGCAAAAGTAGCCAGAGGAAGAACAAAACCTTTCCCTAGCAGTGTGCATTGTGGGAGACATTATAACTCAGATATAGAACATGAGCTATTGAAGCAATCAGAAGTGGAAAATGTGACCTATGTTAGAAGCAATAGGAAATTCTCACTGTTGCTTGGTGAGCTAAGTGAAATGAGAAGGTGTCCTCAGTATTGCTCAGATTCAGAATTTAAGATGAGAATAGCTGCTAACAATGGGCAAATATCCATGGAACAAAAAAACCCCTCATACAGTAGCTGGCATTAATGGCTAACTGTTCCTCTGTTGACAGTAAAGAGGCCAGTGATTTGGTTAATTTTGTAAACCATGGCCCTCTGACCTATCAAGGTACCCTGGGCCCATGGAAAATGCAATGTGTGGAGGTGGGACATTTTGACCTACTGCCATACCATACATGTTGACTGGCCACACAACAGA